TTTGGGCGGGCGCCATTGTAACTGTATCTTTCTTCTTGAACTTCATCTTTCCCGCTCTCGCTTCCTCTTGTTGAGTCTAGTTAACTTGCAGACTGCATGCTCGGATCGATGCTTGGAGAGTGGCAAAGTCCCCCACGCCGCGGTCTGGCCATACAGAACGAAGGCGCTCCCTCTCCTGATCTCTTTCCTAAGTCTCTGTAATTCCATGTTTTTCGCGCATGCATGCACGCTATAAATTCCGGCTGCGCAATTATATAGCTCTCTTAACCAGCTGTTGGAAGCTCGAGGTAGCGTGATCAGTGAGGGTCGGCTCACGAGCGAAGTAAGAGGTGAGTTGAAGTGGGAGTCGGGCGACCCGACGAGCTGGTGCCAAACACGCGGGGTTGAGGAGGGCCACGACGGACTGTGGGCACGGACAAACCTGACGGGTGCGGGAGGACTAAGCGGGGTGACGACTTCGTGCATTGGTGCGTGACGACGGACTGTCCGCATCAGAGAGAGAGAGAGAGAGGAAGAGGGAGCTGAGGTTGATGGACATGGATTTGCAGTTTCTTTGTCTTTTCCCCCTCCTTGCTTTTGTATATAAATTTTGATCTCGGCTCAGGGTGATCCGCCTGTTTTTCTTGTGTTTTCGAAATTTTTGCTTGGTTTCGGCCCATACTCGTTTTGCGATTGATTTCGATCTCGTTTGTTGTGAGTTTTGTCGAATGAATGTCATATCTGTTTGCTTTTCTTTTGTCTGGCCCTTGCCTTTGCTTGTCCCGTTGATACACTCATAAGCATAGTAAAAACTTCTGTGTAGTCGTTACTTCCGTTGCTGTTTATTCTTTTTTTTGAGTCATCATTGTTACTGCGATGCCTGGTAACGCAGGAACGATTGCGTGCGGATCACGAAGCGATTAGATGATTGGGTAGTTGTTTGTCCAGAAACAAGCGAATACCTTGCGGGGATGGGTGTAAGCGAGATCTGATCTGCGCAGCTTACGCGTATCCACGCGCACCGATTCGTAACCACCAACGAACTTAACTGCCCCGGGATTCTCTTTTCATCGTATGAATGGATGTTGCATTGCGTGGAAGGAATGGTGTGATTGCCGCTTCTCTGGCCGATTAGTTAATGATTGGTTGCAAGGCCTTGATGTATGAGGGGATGTTGAAATGATGGATGAATGATTGGATGTATTCGACGGTCGTTTTGCATCCGCAACGTAGCAATCATCCCGCATGAGCATGTGTAAGTGCGATCCCCTTTGCGCGGCCTACGCGTACTCACACGAGGCGATCACAATCATCAAATATCAGGATAGGCGTGGAATTTCTGAAGGACGGGCCCGGAATTTCCCCAGCCGGGTAAACACGCACTAAGGAATTCCGCGGCTTCACAATGACAAGATGACGTCCTCGAGGGACTTAGACTCGTCGTGGGATCCGGAGTACTTCAACCCTTGGGTGAGCGAGTGTCTCAGACGGAGATGCCCGGAATTCCCCTGCCTAACCGAGAATCGATTGTGCCCTAGGGAGTTTCACTGTGCTATGCCAGCGATCCAAGGTGTCCCGATTTTCCCACTTCGGATAACTCGCACTACTTCATATCCCCCGACTTCGTCGTTATCGCTACCAACTTCCCTCCCTTCGGCCTCCTTCTCCCGTATCACCAGCTCACAGTTGTCCCGTGGAATTCCATCGCCGAGTACTGGCCCCGCACACCTTGCGGAAATTAACAGCGGTGCGGCAACCGACGAGCCCCGGAAACCAGAGGGCCTAACCCCGACGTGCGACGACAGACGCCAGGCGGCGGTACCCGACGGCCCGACCCATTGGAACCCCAACCGCGCCGGACGAGTTTCTCCTTGAACCACCGTCACCAAAACAGATGGATCGAACGGCCTTGAATGACCCGCACATGCCATCTGCCTTATGATCGGAAGCAGTCCGCCCCCTTAACCATATTGCACCCGTGCCCCTGACACTTTGCCACAGGAGATCTCAGTTCTGACCTGGGACTCCACCCCTTCCCCCCACTTTCCCAAAAATCCTTGGCACACCCCTTTTCGCACTTCCAGGCCCACATCTTACTCCGATCAGGAAGTCGCGCTGGGCGTGAGGTTGGTATCAGAGCCCGACACGTGGCCGGGTTACAAGGTGAACAACACGATAATTGAGCAATCTGGCTAACCGAGGGCGACCTCGACCCCGGAATGCGCATAGACGCGACCCCATCGTCACTAGAAGCAGATCGGCTAATCGACGCGCAACTAACATGAACGCTAATCCACAGAATCCGAATCCGCAGCAGAACCTCAATCAGCAAGAAAATCCTAATCGACCTGTACCACGAGCACGGGCTCCTATGACGCCACCTGATCTCTATCTGTTTGATCCTGCGCATCATCTTGCTGGAGCGTGGTTGGCCACGCTCCGGGCACAACAGTATGACGATAATGAAGCTCAGGTGAACATCCCCGCTCGATTAGGAGGGGACGCTCATCATTGGTTTAGTACCTATGCATGGGTGGATCTCCCGACCTTTGAGCGAGATTTTTTGAATCCGTTTGATGACATCCATCCGGAACAAGCCCTCTTTACGAAACCCCTCGAGTCTGTCACGGAATATCGAAACCGGTTCTACCGAATGTTCGTAAAAACGGAGTGAGGTGAGCAAGTAGGAAGAGATTTGTTCATCGATGGACTTCGCAGCCGAACGATGAGGGCAAAACTGCGAAAAGAGTTCTCCCCCATCAATCATACGCTACAACAGATCATGGCCGCCGCGGAAGAGATGAAAAGAAAATTTGTTGCGAGTTTCCTAGAAGGAGAGGATTATCCTAGAGAAGGGGACTCGTCTGAATTAGCAAGGGCTAAGGCTGAGCTGGCCGCATTACAAAACAAGTTCGAAAACATGGGGTTTGTGTCTTGTCCGGTCACCTATCTGGAACAGATCACCCCCAAACGATCGGTTCCAAGAAAAATTACAAGCGTATCCACCCCAATGATGACAGTACCCCTACCCTCGATCGAAAATCTCGCACGATCAAATGACTCGACCGCTTTGCTCGAACTAACCAAAACGTTGGTTAATTTGATTCAGAAAAGTAAAAAGGAGCAGTGGGAACACAATGCTCGAATTGAGGCGATGATGAGATCGATGCGACCCATCGCAGTGCGTGCCGCGCCGATCCAGCATGGATTGGCTCTGGCACCGCCTCCAGCCGGGATCCCGGGGAATCTGAATGTCTGCTACACGTGTCACCAACCAGGACACATAGCCCGGGATCGCCCTCACCGGCCCCTGCAACAACGAGTCGGAGCCGCCCGAGTAGCTTCAGCACCAATCGCTAACGGACCGGGACGGGTAGGAGCATTGATGGAAGAAGTAGAGGGAAGCGGAATCACGTTAGCATCCATGGAGGAGGCTGCAGAGCTTATTCCCTTGGATCAATATCTAACACTGGGATATTCGGGGCTTGGGATGATTGGTACGATTAGACATGCACCTGAACAATGAGAAGTGGCGGAGTGGCGACCTTCTCCGGGAGAGGTGGAGTCGGGAGGACCCACCTTCGTCACAGGGGAATCGATGTTCTAAACATCGTGCGAGCCTTAGATCACCGAATCCCGCTTCCTATCGGTCATCTGCTTTTGATATCAGAACAGGCCAACGAACGAATGTTGCAGCATGGCAAAGCAAATCGGAAACGATTTGCCCTTACTAGAACGGCAAACACGAAAACAAAAGGACCAACACCGGACGAAAATGCCGCAGGTACTTCTGATCCCATACGCCTAGCGCTGATCCAAAAAGACGATCATTTCCTGCGGATTAAACCCATTCCATGGAAATCCGCGGAATGCGACATTGAAGTATGGGGAATTCCTTACAATGCTATCATCGATTCGGGAGCCGCTGTGTTAGCTATCTCCTTACGGGTAGTGGAGAGGGCAGGAAGAAAAAACGATCTGATCATGCTTACAGAAAAGGACCAGCTCGTCTCAGCAGACGAAAAAAAGATCAAAACGGTGGGACGAATGACTAATGTTGCCTTTCGGTTAGGGAAAGTACATGCCTTGGGAGACGTCATAGTTCTAGATGTTAATACTTACGACGTACTTTTTGGCCTTCCCGCCTTGGTAGCATTGCGCGCCAATTTGGACTTTGAAAGACGATCGATTGTCCTCTGAAATACGGGAGGAAAACCCTACGTTGTACCAATGAGACTGACTCTTCATACCACCGCTAACATAGCCCCGCGAGTTTCTCCCGCGATGACGGGGACTCTTCGCGTGATTACCTGGGACAACGGACAGGCATCCAAAGACGCAGACAACAGTGATGATGACGATCCAGTAATCCTGGAGATGGCGCAACAACGTATTCACTATCCTGCGCAATGGACAAATGTAAAAGTCTCGAGCCGAACTAGCCAAGATCTACAGAGAACATAAGCAATGATTATGGGAGAACCTCTCGTACAAATTTCAAGGATGGTCGATTCTTTGGAACCCCCCCGAACCCTGTACGAAGGGATCTCCCTTCTTCTCGCCCGGTACAATGACAAAAGATACTACTGCGATATCACGAATCTCCCGAAATCCCTTTTGACACCTGCAAAAGAGATTTGATTGCTATGCTTAGGGGCAGAGACCAACTCTTTGGAACCCCCTGAGCGCCTCGAAAACGGACTCGGAATCAAGATCGCCACTAAACTTGTGTCGTGGCAAGACATTCCAGACAGAGTAACACCGGAAGAACACGTGGCCATCAGAAAACAAGATGCACAGATGATGGCCACGGTGTTTTCTTGGCGATCGGATAACTTATTCACCTCCGCGCCCCCGCCACGAAACACATCGATGTAAGAATATGGGATGAGCTGTATGAGTTGCACGTACCCCAATACGTGCCCAATGAAATCCACCATTTAATCGCCGACATTCTGAAAGAGTATAAAGGAGCGATTAGTGTGATGGACACAGATATTGGACTGTCATTAGTCATACAGCATGAGATCCAGACGGGGAATCATTCCCCGATTCACTGCAAACCTTACAAATATTCTCTGGTAGAACGGAAAAAGGCTCTCGAGCGGATTCGAGAATTTGAAGCAAGTGGTTGGATCGAACCCGCCACTGGACGGTGGTTGTTTCCGGTAGTATTAGTACCGAAAAAGAACGGATCGATTCGCATCTGCATTGATTATCGCAAACTGAATGACATCACGATCAAAGATGTGTATCCCCTCCTCCGGATTGATGATTTGCTGGATGCGATTGGATGTGCTAATTACTTCAGTAAGTTTGATATTCAGCACAACTTCCATCACATTTTGGTTAAGGAGGAAGATCGGCCGAAGACGGCCTTCGTACTGTTTGAGGGCACGTGGCAGTGGGTTCGGTGTCCGATGGGGATTTGCAATGCGCCGGCCACGTTTCAACGAGCTATGAATGTCACGTTCCAGAACTTCGTCAACAAGACGCGGCTCACGCAAGGGATGATTAACTTCTGCGTCATCGTGTACATGGACGACATCCTGGTTTATTCGGAGACCTATCACGGACACGCGCAGCACATCGAGTGGACGTTGGGCACTCTGAGAGATGTCGGATTCAAGATTGTGCTCGAAAAGAGCGAATTTTTCCTTTCGGAAATTTCGTTCCTAGGCTACGTCGTGACACGTGGAGGATTGCGGCATGACTCAAGAAAGGTCGCGGCGGTAAGAGAAGCTCCTGTTCCCACGTTACTGACGCAGGTTCGAGCCTTCTTGGGGTTAGCCTTGTACTATTGACGTTTCATCAAGGGTTTCGCTGCGATTGCACGACCCTTAACGAACTTGTTACGGAAAGACCAGCCCCTCAGTTGGGACGCAGAGTGCGAACAAGCCTTCGCGACCCTCAAGGAAGCTCTAGCAACGGCGCCTATTTTGATCCGACCGGACCCCGCGAAGCAGTTCATTCTCATCACGGACTGGCAGTCGGAGGCTATTTCCGCTATTTTAGCACAGAAGAGGAACGACGACCGCGAACACGTCATCGAATATGCGTCACCAACGGTGCCTGACGAGCGGAGAAATGACTCAGCCCCACATGGCGAATGCTACGCGGTAGTGTGGGGAATCCAACACTTCCATCCGTATCTGTACGGACAAAAGTTCCTCCTTGTCACTGATCATGAGCCCTTGCTAGCATTGAAGAGGCTCACTAATTACACGGGCATGATTGGACGTTGGGTAGTGTGCCTACAGGAGTACGACTTCGACATCATCCATCGGAAGATGGAGCGGCACGACAACGCGGGCAGACTGACACGTCTGCATCGACCAGCTAAAGTGCCTAAGGCGGAAGAGATCATCCCGTGGAAGGAACCGGAATCGGCAAACGGACCCAAGTACGGACAAGTGGCAGTCCTTCCACGTGGCAAGAAGCAGCCAGGTGGCCATGGGTGAGGGAGGTAATCCTGCAACTCCTCTCTCTCCCCTCTCCTCCTCATCTCTCCTCTCTCTGGCTGATGAATTTTGTTATTTTTGCGAAGCAATTTCTCACGTATACTTGGTCTCTATGCGCCCTAGCGGGGAGGGATATAGGCGGAACAAACGGACGCTCAGGCAGAGGACCCCGAGGCGACGCGCAAAAGGGAGGAGATCGCGGCCGGAAAGTGATAGCTAGAATTCGCCAGTGGAGCAAATCTGCAGATCGCTGACGATCCAGCCCAAGATCCAGAGCCGCCCAAGTCCGAAGATGGAGACCCAGCAGCCGAGACTTCGACCGCACCAGCAAGGCGGCGACGAAGCCGATCCCCCTCCCCCTCCACCTCCGACCGTCCACCAGTTCGAGCCTGTACCGATGCGGGCCATCGGGCTTCGTCCCCGGTCGTTATCCCGCCGTCCCCTTGACCATCTCACCCTCCGCCAAATCACCACCCGTGTCACCTTCCCCCGTAATCCCTTCCCGATCGATACCTTCCGTTTCTTCTACGCCACCCGCCTTGTTATTACAGTTCACCCCTATCCCTCGACCCGGTGCGCCCTCCCCAACTTCTGCCTTCACACCCTCCTCCTTAGTGCCGCGTGGCGAGGCCACAATATCGTCGAAGTTTATTGCATGATTACGGGGACTATCCCCGCATGCGAGAACTACGACCATTTTCGCGCGACACTCTTTCGAACCTTCGCCACTCTGTATCCCGACTACCTCGCCTCCCTCCCCCACAGTGGTAATCGCTTTCCCAGTTTCCACCGGATCGTCCGATATCAAGAGCTTTCGGAAACGGTGGCAAGGATGGAAAGTTTCTTACCCCCGCTTCCGAGTAACCCTCCCCCTCGCCATGCCCCCATGTATCGTCTCCCCTTCCCCCTCCCCGGTTGACATTGATGATTGGTTGATTGGTGTGCGTGCCACGGCGATGGCACGAATAATCCCCTCCTTGGATTGACGAGATCCCTCCTGAGGAATTTGTAGGACAGAGCCCGTATGCCACGTTGGATGACGTCCACACTCCTTCACACGGTAAGTGGCAACGTAGAAAGCTCCGCGTGTCGATCGATTAGAGAGATCGACACGTGTTAAGACTCAAGCAAGCAGCAAGCAGGAGCTTGCTTAAGATTGGAACCCCCTGGGCATCACATATGTGACGAACCGATTTTTGTGCCGCTCGACTTGCTGGGCGATAACAATGAGGGGTCCTAAGCTGGGAAGGATGGGCCAATTACGGGAGATCGGGATTGGAAGGGAATTGCATCGGTGTCCTCGCTTCTTCGTCTTTTTGCGTCGTCTCTTTTCAGATGGCTGGGTTCGGGCCCGGGCAAGTCCCGAGGATGACTGATGGGTGATGCGCCGCCGCGAGAGCGCGAATAATTCTGGTTGACGTCATTCCTTTTCACTTTCTGTTGTTGGATTTAGGCGCAGAGACCGTGCGGGAATTTTGCTTCGTTCTTTTTGAATCTTGTCGAGCCTCAATAACTCTCAGAATTTCGGACTTTCTTTTTGAAATTTGTGCTTTTCGTTTTTTGTAGGAATTTAGGAATTTAGGAATTTAGGAATTTAGAAATTTAGGAATTTAGGATTTTCTTTTGCCGCGCAACGCTTTTTGCTTACTCGCTTCTTTTTGCAGCTCCAACGGAGCTCTGATTAGTCGGCGCCCTTAATCGTGTGTGTAACTGTAATTTTGGGCAGGCGCCATTGTAACTGTATCTTTCTTCTTGAACTTCGTCTTTCCCGCTCTCGCTTCCTCTTGCTGAGTCTAGTTAACATGTAGACTGCATAGTCGGATCGATGCGTGGAGAGTGGCAAAGTCCCCCACGCTGTGGTCTGGCCATACAGAACGAAGGCACTCCCTCTCCTGATCTCTTTCCTAAGTCTTTGTAATTCCATGTTTTTTGCGCATGCATGCACGCTATAAATTTCGGCTGCGCGATTATATAGCTCTCTTAACCTGCTGTTGGAAGCTCGGGGTAGCGTGATCTCAGTGAGGGTCGGCTCACGAGCGAAGTAAGAGATGAGTTGAAGTGGGAGTCGCGCGACCCGACGAGCTGGTGCCAAACGCGCGGGGTTGACGCGGGCCACGACGGACTGTGGGCGCGGGCGAACCTGACGGGTGCGGGAGGACTAAGCGGGGTGACGACTTCGTGGGTTGGTGCATGACGACGGACTGTCCGCATCGGAGAGAGAGAGAGAGGAAGAGGGAGTTGAGGTTGATGGACATGGATTTGCAGTTTCTTTGTCTTTTCCCGCTCGTTGCTTTTGTATATAAATTTTGATCTCGGCTCAGGGGGATCCGCCCGTTTTTCTTGTGTTTTCGGAATTTTTGCTTGGTTTCGGCCCATACTCGTTTTGCGATTGATTTCGATCTCCTTTGTTGTGAGTTCTGTCGAATGAATGTCATATCTATTTGCTTTTCTTTTGTCTGGCCCTTGCCTTTGCTTGTCCCGTTGATACACTCATAAGCATAGTAGAAACTTCTGTGTAATCGTTATTACTGCTTCCGTTGCTGTTTATTCTTTTTTTTGAGCCATCATTGTTATTGTGATGCCTGGTAACTCAGGAACGATTGTGTGTGGATCACGAAGCGATTAGATGATTATGTAGTTGTTTGTCCAGAAACAAGCGAATACCTCGTGGGGATGCGTGTAAGCGCGATCTGATTTGCGCAGCTTACGCGTATCCACCTCTGTCGATTCGTAACCACCAACGAACTTAACTGCCCCGGGATTCTCTTTTGATCGTATGAATGGATGTTGCATTGCGTGGAAGGAATTGTGTGATTGCCAGGTCTCTCGTCGATTGGTTAATGATTGGTTGCAAGGCCTTGATGTATGCGGGGATGTTGAAATGATGGATGAATGATTGGATGTATTTGACGGTCGTTTTGCATCCGCAACGTAGCAATCATCCCGCATGAGCACGTGTAAGCGCGATCCCCTTTGCGCGGCCTACGCGTACTCACACAAAGGCGATCGCAATCATCAAATATCGGGATAGGTGCGGAATTTCTAAATGACGGGCTCAGAATTTCCCCAGCCGGGTAAACACGCACTAAGGAATTCCGCGGCTCCACAATGACAAGATGACGTACTCGAGGGACTCAAACTCGTCGTGGGATCCGGAGTACTTCAACCCTTGAATGAGCGAGTGTCTCAGACGGAGACACCTGAAATTCCCCTGCCTAACCGAGAATCGATTGTGCCCTAGGGAGTTTCACTGTGCTACGACCAGCGATCCAAGGTGTCCCGATTTTCCCACTTCGGATAACTCGCACTACTTCATATCCCCCGGCTTCGTCGTTATCGCTACCTACTTCCCTCCCTTCCGCCTCCTTCTCCCGTATCACCAGCTCACAGTTGTCCCGTGGAATTCCATCACCGAGTACTTGCCTCGCACGCCGTATGAAAATTGTCGGTGGCGCGGCAACCGATGAGCCCCTCAAAACCAGAGGGCCTAACCCCAACGTGAGACAACAGACGCCAATCGGCAGTACCCGACGGCCCGACCCATTGGAACCCCAACCGGCCCGGACGAGTTTCTCCTTGAACCACCGTCACCAAAACAGGTGGATCGAACGACCTTGAATGACCCGCACATGCCATCTGCCTTATGACCGGAAGCGGTCCACCCCCTCAACCATTTTGCACATGTGCCCCTGACACTATGCCATAGGAGCTGTCTCTTATACACATCTAGATGTGTATAAGAGACAGGGGCGTCACAATCCTGATTAGAAAAGAGAGGGCGAAGGTGAGACAGATGGAGGGAGAAGAGTGATACAACAATCAATTCCCACTTCTTCTCCAGGCTCCCCACCTCTGTCACGTCGACAAGCCTGAACATTGTATGACACGTGGATGATGTAACGGAGCCCCTCACAGATAGCAAACTTCCAACAGCGAGCAGAATCAGCAGCAGCATCCCACTAGGTAAGAACAAGTACGTACTTATGACCTCACACTTCACCTACACTCTCTCTCTCCCTCGCCTCCCTATCTCATCATCAACTATCCTTGCAGCAATGACTGCCTCTCTCTGTTACACTCTAGTATCTAGCGGAAGCGCACGAAGCAGCATGGCACCAACGCCCACTCCTCAAGCCTCATGTGCCGTGTTGAAACCGCAAAAAACTCGCAAGATTGAATGCCCAAGTAGTGGCGACGTCACTTGATATAGTGTTGACTCGCCTGTCCACGATAAGCATCGGTCCATGTGAGGGCCCGGATCTTCCGATTTG